TGCCATGGCTCTGACGCTGGACGGGCATCGCTTCTCCTGCGAGGAACAAGTCCCACAAATGATTGCTAGTATTGTGGGATCATCCCAAACACGTGGGTATTTTGATACCTAACATCATGGGGATATTCATGGGGATATACTGGGAGATATAACCAGAGAACTGTGAACCGTTGGAGATGGAACAATTTGAAAATGGGGGATCTCAAGAATCAATTTTTGGGTGCTTAGATGGTGGTTGACACCCCATCCATTTTGGGAGGTTCACAATACCTAGACCCACATGAGGGAACCCGACATGAACCCGGCTAGTCAGCATTTCACCCAAGTTCATTTACCTGAACTTTCAATCAGAACATGTTTGGTTGGTGAAGTTCCAGTATATTCCCAACAACTAGTCAACTAAACAAAGTTGCTCATTTTGGGGATGTTTTCCCATGACACATGGATCGCTCCGCTCCTGTAATGCATCGCGGAGACGCGTTTCTCCACTTCGCCTGCCATGGTGACCGTAGATGGGATGAGATGGGAGGCTTCACGCGATGAAGTCTCGGAAAATGTGTGCGGCGTAAAATGGTGTCATTGAAAAATATGTGGTTTATACATGTTTATACCTTATATGAGGTACAGACCCTCTGACAAGCCCTATCTCACTTGTACTCAGTATATATTGTTTGAAGAGCATGAAACCATGATGAATCGGTGCAAAAATATGCCCGAGAATTTGAAGAGCCACAGCCGCAAAGATCTGGGTATAGGTCATACTATTCATACAACCGTTAAATCTGTGGGTCCATCCGGTCAAAAATGTTCACCCATGCCCTCAAATACTCATCTAGCTTATTTACCTTGTTCTGTTTTTTCTATCCAATCTTTTGGAGATCCCTATATAATTTGCCGCCTGTGACGCGTCTCCCTGAAGCACTGGCCAGACTCAACCTGAGGCACCAGGGCCAAGTGGCCAAGAATAGAGACTTCACAAAAGGTTATTTGGAAACAAACGTGTGAAGTTTTGAAGATGTGCAATGTGCATATGCATATTACATATATATAAGATACAGTCTATGTATATATATATATATATATGTATCACATATATATATATCCATATATATATATGTATATATATATCCATATATATCCATATATATATATCCATATCCGTGTATATATATATCCATATATATATATCCATATATATATATATATCCATTGCGAATCGGCGATTGGATGTCCGATTATGTCCTGATACTTGGGGTTGAAGTAAATGCTTCGGTGACGGCTTCACTAGGATTGCGGCTTCCGCATGGCAGATCTTTGTTCTGGAGCTGCAGTGGGGTCTTGAGCCGAAAGGGCGATTGTCACAACCCTTTGGCTCTGGGTCTTAGAGTGAATTATATGATAATGTACATTGGTCCGTAGCTTACACTCTATTCGCACCCCCCACGCATAGCCAACTTTGTTGGCTACGCGCAAAGGAGTGTCCCTCGAATTGATCCACTATATTCGCAGCTGTTCATTTGTTGAATTATGGAGAGCTAAAGTTCGTTCAGAACTTCCAATCTACATGGCGGCTTGCTACGATCTCTACCACAAGATAAATGTTCTGTTCACGTGCATGTTGACACGACGTAGTCGGTGTCAGGCATTGAGGTTCATCCGATGTGGCGTAGCCAGCATGGAGTCCCACTCAAGCATGTGAATTAAAAGAAATCAAACACAAAGATGACTATGGAACTAGAAGTTTACCTTCCCGTCCCTTCGTCGGTTGAGACGTAGACCGCTGTAGAAACTCAGCGTTTCATGCAATGATGTTCAAAAAAAATGTGTGGTTCTAAATTAGCCGGCTCAGAGTCCTCTCAGAAATCATTCAAAATGAAGTAGAGGTAAATCTCGAGCAACGATTGCATCCTCGCATCGCCAGGTTCAATCAGGACCTATGCAGAGGTCAGATCGCTTAATCATCTATATCCCCATCCATAGTATCCCTGCTGGTTCCAGTCTCCGCCACGGTGTGAATAAGATCTTCCACCTTTTCCTTGGTCCTTTCCACCCTTCTTTGGCGGGGTCACTGGAGCTTGTTTTGGCTGAGGAGCGGTTTCAACTGTTCTCCATGTCGCTGACGATGATGCTTTCGCTTTCGACACTCTTCCCAGTGCTGGTGCAGCTTTCGGGGCTGCTTTCGATTTGCCAGCGGCTGGATTGGCGCGTTCACGATCAGCAGGAGTCGGGGTATCAGCAATCGCAAGTATGTGAGCTTCAGACAAGTGGATGCCCCACCTTGGTCGTTGATCTTCCCGTTGCTTGATGTGATTGTAATCGTCGATCGCATCATATAGCTTTTGGAGTAGAGGTCGCGGCAATTGTCGGCCATTCTGAAGGATCAGGTGTAAAAGTGATATTCTTCGAAGTGGTGGACGAAGAGCACACACAATGTCAACTGGATTCAGTGTGATTGTGTCCTGAAAGTCAACGTTCCTGAAGAAATAAACAGCATTTACCCTATATGCACCTGCAATGATTCTTCTGACCATGACGTCTTGTCGGTCAAGGGCGTCGCGGGCCGCTGTGGTCTTTCTCATCTCATCCATTGTGGTGTCACGTTTTGACAGCTTCTCCATCTCCTCATCAAAGAATATGTTTTGCAAGTCATCATACATGTAGCCACATTCAAGGGTATATGTGAGAAGTCTTTTGAGTACCACTGCCCCATAGTATGCATTGACGAATCCCTCTTCTCCGATGTCGTCCTTTTGATTTGGTCGGCCGATCTCTTTGTAGAGCTCTTTCATCTGTTGTGCAGTTGGCTCAATGAGTTCACCATTTTCATCCTCTCCCAGGTAAGGTGTCCTTGAGTCCAGGTCCATCCTGAATTTCTGGTTCTGTTGAAAATGTTTCCATGCCGTCTCGATGTCTCCACAGAAGTTCCGTTGGAATAGTCTGTAGATCCTGACGATATGTAATCCAATCTGCAACAGGAGGATCTTGATGAATTCTGGCTGAGCATCTCCAATTGTGCAAGGTTCGATCGGCAGGACCTTTGATCCAAACTCAATCCGTTGCATCCACTTGGGGTACTCAATCACTGCATCACGAGCTTCTCCAGCCTCGTACTCTTCAATGTTGATTTCATCGACCGCTTTCTCTTCATCATCATTCTCATCGGTCGGTTTTCCCTCTTGATTGAGAAATTTGTCGACCTCATCTTCTTCTCTGAAGTCTCTTTTCTCATCATTGATGTCGCCCTTCTTCGAGGCTTGATCATCATCTCCTTCTTCTGGTTGAGTCTCTTGTTCTGGACTCTTCATGGTGACATCATCATCATCTGGCATCACCTCGTCGTCATCATCATCACCTGTCAAATCGATCTTCACCTCCTCCCATGCTTTCTTGACATGGTCTTTGAGATCTTCTTCTCGATGGTGTGATTCGGCCTTTGGTACTGTAGCCACGGTGATCTTGATCCGTTTCCTCCATCCATGACTCACCAAAAATCCTTTGCACATCACACAAATCGATAATGGCGCAGGGGTCTCCATCAGACATGCGGGGCATAGTCGATGGTCCTCCTTGCTAGGACGATGAGTGACTGCCAATAATGAAATTGCATCATTCCAATCCGGATGTCCAGGGAACAACCTGTGAGTGTGACTGAAGTGACCGGTCCTGATATCGACAAGTTTTCGAAGTTCGTCTAGATCGGGTGATGATTCTTCAGGCACAATGTTTCCAATGAGCTTGTCAAATCGTTCAATGGTGGCCACCCTCTTCGCGCCTTGCACAGAAAGAACAAGTTGATCTCTTCCCTTCGTGATCATGAGACGGTAGTAGTCCTTTTCTCTCCAGTCGTAATACCAAACTGCATCGAATGATTCGAAAGGTATTGTTTCTTGGACCAAAATGTGTCCGTCTGCTGATAATCGAGGGGAGAACTTGGCGATGGAATCATACGTGATGTAGATGTAGACAAGATCAGTTTGATCAATCTTCCTGAATCTCAGCACCATTTGACTTCTCACATCCCACGGCGCGAACGGCACGAAGAACGTATTGATGCGGTCGCCTCCTCCTCCTGGACGTAGTCCTTCTCTGAAGATTTGAGCGATGTTGTCAAATGTGGTGCAATGAAATCCTCCTCCAAGAGTGTATCCTACTCCAGGGTTCATCTGATATGAAGTCTTCTTGTCTTCAATGTGCACACCGCCTTGAACTCTTGAATGCGCCATAGGGGCTCGGATTGCCACCGGCCAAAGCCAAATCTCTCGATCTGCTGTGCCGATCTCCATCCTCAGTGTTTGTCGATCAAGTCTAGAGGTCAATCCATCATTGAAGTTGTTCATGATGTGTTCCAACTCACCTTTCGTGACCTTGAGTCCTAACACTTGTGCTCGGATTCTCTTCGTTTGCTTGTACTCAGTGAAGATCACTCTCTGGAAGTTGTTCCATCTCTCAACAAGTATCGGGTAGTTGACGTAGGCCGTTCCAGCCAAAGTATGTTGGTCTTTCCAAATTGCATCGTACTTCAAGATCGACTCAACATTGACCCAACCTGCCTCGTCGCATGGTAGTCCACGGTGATTTCGATTGTCTCTGACGCAACCCACGGAGTGGCGTAGCGCTGCATTGAATCTTTTTGACAATTCAACTATCCATGGCGGATTTTCCCACTTGTTGCCCATCCACTCATTCTCGCCATATCGATGCACTTTGCACCAGCCCATTCCAAGATATTCTTCTCCGTTGATGCGGGCAAGTTGAAGTTTACCGATGTTGTGGCCATGTGTGAATGGTTGGATGTACTTGAAATTCCAGTTGTTTCCATGTTGTTTTCTTTCTTCAGTAAGCCATTTTACATAAGCATCATGATCAAGGGGGTTCCAAGCGTTCAGCTCTTCAATGGTCGGCAAAACAGGCGGGGATTCCTCAGCCGCACGCTCAATCAGCAAGTCAAGCTCATGACGATTCTTCACACCTCGGCTAATTGGGTTGACTTCGACACCATTCACTAAGTATTGTCCTCCTTCTTCACGATCACCAATGTCGTACATAAAGGCTGACTGACTGTAGAAGCACTTGGTCACTTCCTCTTTCTCAGTGAATCTGGTTCTTCCCCAACGCTTTCCTCGTGGCATGACGTTCTTTGGGAGCTTGTCTTTTCTGCCTCTGGTTGCAGCTTTGGATCTTTCGGATGATGATGGGGATTTGGACTTCTGATCCATGATCAACCTCATGCGCCATATGGTGTCCTTCATGTTCTCATCATCTGGTGTAGTACATTCGTCAATGCCATGCCTTCCACCACAAATGAAACAATATTGAACATCCAATGCATCTGAAATCAGCTTCTCAAAACGATCACGGATGTCACGCACCTCGGTTCGGCGCTTCTTCGCTTCTGAAGGTTGTCCCCCCATGCCATCTTCCTCCTCCTCAATCTCGATGTCACCAGCTCCGGCATCGGTTTCTCCTGAAGTTTGTTCTGCTCGAGGGCCCCGCGCCGTAGGCGTCGTGGTCTCCTCATCAGGTTCATCAACTTCATCCACCTCTTCATCGCTTGATGAGACCTCAATCATTTCAGGGTGGTCATCGTAGTTGGCTTCTGGGAGCACCGGCATTCTGGTGATCTTCTTCTGCATGAGTAGGTCAAAAATTCCTGCTTCTTTCAAGATTGTAATCACCATGTCATTCTCGACCGGCGGGATGTATGCTTTCCTGGATCGGTTTCGCTTTGTGTTGATGGTGTCGGTAGGTCGACATGAACTGCTGAATAGCCAAAACGACTCTTCCAGTCCTGCGAGGCAACTGTCAAGGTTTGCCCCCCATCCAGCGAACATAGTAGGGAATTGAATACCCAGATCAAGCATTCCAAGCCAGAATTCGAAAATGTCGCCGACATACTCAGTTGTTGCTGTTGGATTGATCATTGATTCGATCTCCTC